TCAAGTACACCAAGTCATGAAACACAGTGTGTGCTGCCAGCTTCGGGAAGGTGAATCCATCGGAATGTTTGGAGACTGAAGCCATTCCTTGATTTATCAAAAAACCTGTCAGAAAGGTGCCACAGAAAAAGAGTGTAGAAGAATGGGCATTCCCTTTCACTCCTAGGGACTATTCAAGCTTATAGAAATACTTGTACAATATGCATATTATATAAAAATGTGTTTTTATAGACAAACATGAAAAAAAAGAGTATAGTCTGAGAGGGAGGCAATGTCCAGAAACAATAGCTTTCCATTTTTATATATTTAAAAAGAAAAATATCTATGATTTGTTGCAATGGTTTTTTTAACTTACCCTACTTTTTTTGTTTTGTGAGTGAGGCAGTGAGTGAGTGAGGGAGACAGTGAGAGAGTGAGACAGTGAGAGAGTGAGACAGTGAGAGAGTGAGTGAGGGAGACAGTGAGAGGGTGAGTCAGTGAGGCAGTGAGACGGTGAGGCAGTGAGTGAGACAGTGAGAGAGTGAGACAGTGAGAGAGTGAGACAGTGAGTGAGGGAGACTTTGAGAGAGTGAGACAGTGAGAGAGTGAGACAGTGAGAGAGTGAGACAGTGAGAGAGTGAGACAGTGAGAGAGTGAGACAGTGAGGCAGTGAGAGGGTGAGTCAGTGAGGCAGTGAGACGGTGAGGCAGTGAGAGAGTGAGACAGTGAGGCAGTGAGACGGTGAGGCAGTGAATGAGACAGTGAGTGTGAGACAGTGAGTGAGGGAGACAGTGAGTGAGTGATACAGTGAGTGAGTGAGAGAGTGAGAGTCCCTCATTTTTTTTTAACCCTCATATTTACTGTGAAATGAATCGTGGACACATGCCTCTATTGTATTTTTGTTTTCTCTTCTGATAAATAAAAAATATAGAAAAGAAGAAATGAAAACATTTATGTAAAATACTAGTTGTTCACATTACAAGGAAAGTACTCATTATGTTAGTTCATATTTGGTATTTATGTTTATATTAGTTAATCTACCTATGTACCAATGTGAAATTTTTACATAGCTTTAAAAGAATAAAATTTTGGCACTTTTAGTGGACAAGTGATTCAAATAGTTTTGGTTCATGACTATTATGCATTTTTACTTTATGTATGCAATTTCACTTACAATTATTTAAAGCAACAAATACACTCCTGGCTTCTGTGATCATTTGCGCATTGTTTCAAATTTGGCCACATGAGGGCAGCATGACGCCTTTTAAGAAAAAGGCAGCGCCTGCATGTGGGGAGGGGCAAATAGTCTTAAAGCTGCACAAATCATAGATACACAGTTAAAACTAGAAAACTCGGTAATGATCCTCTAATCCTACCTTTCATTTTTAATATTGAAGAACTTGAGGTCCCAAAAGGCCAATTTATAAGTCCAAGTAGCACAACTAAAGCCTCAGAACGGAAGAGCAAAGAATCCATCCGTGGCATTATTAGGAGCAGTAATAACTGTATTATCAGAGCACAAGGTGCTTCGACAGACTTTCACGGTGCACTTTTTATTAATACCTTTTACAGAAGGGGTATTTTTGGAGGAAATTGTGTGTATTTCTGATAATGAATTGGTCACTGAAATAACATAAAAGAGTCTCATTTCTAGAATGACTAAAGTGTGTCCTAGAAGGGCAGAAGAATGGACTGTGTGACTTTTCAAGGTCACAGCTTTGCATTTGCAACCTGTCTTGAAACTGCAGCATCAACAAGAACCAGCAGCAGGCAAAGACCTGTGCACAACCATTTTGCCTAAATGCCTTCCCCTGCCCTTTTAAATGACTTGTTTGCCGCACCCCCCTTCCCCAGTCACTTAGTCACATGCACACGTGCAGCTGAAAACATGCAAGCACAAGCATTCCCCCCCAGGGCAACACCCTAGAGGGGATACTAGAGGCAGGAATGCTGACATTCCCTGTCCCTACTTTTTGGTCATTGATACCCTGCTTCCAAAGTTCACTCAGAAACAGTCTACCAACAACTGGATAGGTAGAACATGCTTCTTTCTGCACAGCCACAACTCCCCAGATTCCTCCGTCACCCTAACTTCTTTTCCATCTTGGCTATTCTCTCCTTCCTCTACACCATTCACACCTTTCATCTGAATCACCACATCAGCCTCAACCTTGCGGAAGCAGATTTTCATTCCATTGGAGCCCCAACATTTTTTCCCCCATCCAAGTGTGAGCAAATTAAGGTTATTAGCTTAGTGGGAAGAAAAGCACTTATCTTTTTGTTGCTAGGATACCTCTTCTTCCAGCGACAAAGCTATGCTTGTTACAGTTTTAGCTTTGAGGACAAAGTAGATTCCAAGTACGATTAGCATAATATAAAGAGGCTTAAGATAATATTGTTAGTTACCCAACTCTATGGTTTAAAAAAAATTTCCTATTCTATCAAAGTATACAACAACTCCTTGATAGCATAGATTCTCACATTTCACAGATAAGGAAAATTAGATCCAAAAGAGGGCTTCCTTTGGCCGAATTTGGAAAAGTAATGAATGGTAGAGTAAGGGTTATAAATCAGGTAGCCAACAGCCAGTCCTTGTTGCTCCTTCATAGCCAAGTTCGATGTCTTTGTTGATCTGCAAGTACAATCTGAAAGTCATCAGCATGGATGTCAAAACCCCCTCATGAATTTGGTCCTTGCCCCCACAGTTCACTGTGCATGGACTTTATTCCCCCTGGGCCATGGGGTCTCAACATCTCCATCCTTTTTTTTTTTTTAATCATTTTCTTGGGGGTTTGTACAACTCATCACAATCCATCCATCCATCCATTGTGTCAAGCTCATTTGTACATTTGTTGCCATCATCATTCTCAAAACATTTGCTTTCTACTTGAGCCTGGGAGAAAGCCACTTTCTTTCTTTTTTTCCCAGGTATTATTTAATATTTTTATTAATATTCAAACTCTTCTTTATAATTGAGTTTTGTGTACCTCTTATTCTTATCAAAGTATTAACTACATGAAATAATAAACTAGCTTTCGGTAGATCATCTATTTATACTAAAACAGTCGTTAGGGCAGTGAACCTGTTGTTAAATTATTTGAAAGCCACTTTCAATGAAAAGTTTACTCAACTTGGAATGGAAATTGAATCTGGATTTCTCCTCAGAAAGATGACTGTCACAGTATTTCCTATGCATCATTATTAAAGATATCCTTAGCAACAGTAGCCAGGAGCATTAGCAAGTCTAATTTTGTATAACTTCCACTGGCATATGTGCATAAACACACACACACACACACACACACAC